TCTAATGTCAATTCTCTAGCTTAGCCCTTCATTATTTCTTGTCCAGTCTGTTTTAATTTCTCTTTATTATTCCTACTTTTAAGTTTCTTTTCTCTTAATCCTTCTCTGTAGATTCAAGAGAGTAATCTATCACATCATAGCCTTGACTTTGTCTCTGCCCAAAGACTTCAATGGTTCTTTGTCTGCCAAATAAAGTTCAAATTCCTGGACAGAGTGGTAAAGCCTCTTCATCTTTCTCTAACGCACCTTCTCTCATTCCACAATCTCCCTTTACCCATCACCCCTTCAAACTGCATATACTCTTCCTTACTGGAACCCAAAACATACAAATTAATAGCTGGTTAGCACCTCCACCATGCTGCATTCTACATCCACATTTTGCCCGCACCGCACACTGCCTCACATATCATGGCACTTACTATGTTTTACAGGACGGTATGATTAATTATGAACCTCTCTCTACAGTTCAGATATGGCAAATGAAAGAGAAAACCAATAGGCAGTATATGAAGGAACTTTGGTGTAAAGTAAATCTATTCAAAATCTGGATGATTACAATTTTATACCAGTTAAAATACTACTAATTGAGTAAGGCATCTGCTACACACATGCCCTGTATAATAAGGATAAGCCAAAGTAACTCTTGGGAGGACTGCTTTAAATTTTTTCTTTTTACTTTATCAAAAGCTTTTTCTAAAAGTGACAAGTAACACGGCATGGATGTACCTGGAAAGCATGTTAAGTGACACAAGCCAGTCAGAGAAACACAAGTATCATACGATTTTACTTCTATGTGAAATCTAATGAGCAAAGTAAATAAACAAACAAAATAGAAACAGACTCATAGTAATACAGAACAGACTGACAGCTGTTGGAGGAGAGGGGGCTTGGGGGGCTGGGTTAAAAAAGGTGACGAGATTAAGGGAAAAACTCATAGGCACAGAGAACCATATGATGATTACCAACCAGAAAGGAAGGGGTTGGGGGAGGTAGAAGAGGGTAGAGCAGGATAAATGGTGATGAAACATTTGACTTTGGGTGGTGAATACCCAATACAATATATAGACGATGTAGTATAAATGTACATATAAAAGCGATATAATTTTATTAACCAATGTCACCCCAATAAATTCAATAAAATTTTCTAAAAATAAAACTAAATAAACAAAATAAAAGTGACAGTAGCAAACTGTGGGATCCCTTCATTTATTTAAGTACAAAGTCAAACCCTAACTCAGTACTAAACAAAGTTGCCCAAGTAATTAATGTGTTACCATTTGTCTACACCTACTAGGGCCCATGATTCTGCTGACACAGAACAGCTTCACTAAGGAAAAGAAAATACGTGAAGAATTATTTAAATGAATGGTATTCCCTGTCCCAAGGGCCCAATGAAGATGATATTCTTAAACCCAACAAATACATATAATTCAAGCTTCTTTGGTTGACAAACTTTAAAATATATTATGGTCACAGTGAAGTTACAAAGATAGAGTATGAATTATATTCAAAACTTGACAAACATACTAAATGTACTGAGGGTAAAAAGGCACAAAAGGCTGTTTGGTATAACTTTTTAAAGGCTTTTAAAACTCAGTAATGTAATTTCAAATAAATGACAAGGACAGCAAGACAAAAATGCAGGCAGGTACTCAACGTGCTTTGCTCTTAGGCCTCAATTAATTATTTTTTAATTTCCTGAATAGCTACATATGCTCAGTACACTTAGTATCTATTAGACAGAAAATTGTTTCCTCCATTTTCCATCATGCTTATGAAAATCCTGCTCAGGAACCTCACATTAATAAATTATCATTCCTACCGTACTGATTAGCAATCATTTCCTCACCCTCACACCTCAGCATATGCGTATCCAAAAGTACAATAATGCTGTTCCTAAAGGCGAATCCAGACAGACAACCATCTCAACAGTGGCCAGAAAACAAGGTGGTTGTTTTCAACACTGCTCCCACTGTACTTTGTGTAAGTCTGCATTACAGCCCTTTCTGCACTACACAGCAATTAGACATTTTTATGCCTGGCTCTGAGGCCAGCTTCTGAATTCCTTGACAGGTCAAGGGCAGAGTTATTGTATCTTACCTAGCTTTACGAACACAGTAGGCCCTCAATAAATGTTTACTAAGTGTTTAAGAAAACCCCATCTCCGTAATACTTTGGAACAGACCCCCATTTCAGGATATCTGAACCCAGATCACAGTTCTATCACTGTATGAAATAAACATGAACTGACTTGAAAGAATTTGGGATCAGCTACTGACTTACAGTGACACATACAGCTAAGGCCAGAAAATATGAGAGGCTCTGGGATATGCTTGTATTCTTTTTCTCAATAAATTTACTACATTCAATGCAACTGAAGTTTTGTTACATTTTACATCTTGTAAGGTACACACTGAACAATTAATCCCTCCAACTCTCAGTGACCTTGTATAGAAAGCCTTCCTTCGAAAAACATAACAATTAGTTGGAACTGGAATCTCAGTTGACCATTTTAAATTCTACAGGCCCAGGGAATGGTAAAACTATACCCTGGACTGCTTCATATCCCCTGTCAAATAAGTTCTCTAACTGTGTATGTCGGTGAGACAGACTGAACTTAAAGCATATTTTTTATTTACACTTCTAAGATCTGCCCTTAAGGAGGCTTCATAAAGAAAAAAAACGCTAACTAAACACCTTACCCTGCCTTTTACACAACAGTTAGATCTGAAATTATGATTTTCTGTTATTCATGAGCTAACTCATACTATTGCAGTTGTTTTACAAAAACAGTTAGGTAATGTGTCAAGAGATTAACTTTTGGACTAATAATAAAGATCCTGATGTAATCACCAGGAAAATGCTGAGATTATGAACCGCTTCCTTCACCACTGACAAAGAAGAAAAGATAAATACATGTGGGGAATGCTTCTACATTACACAATTAAGTAAAATATATTTAATTAGTAATTATCAATGCCTTTTATTACTATGTGATGAAAAAGTAACAAACTGAGCTCTTTTACAATGGTTTATGTAATTTCCCTCCACAAAGCCCACGAATGCATTCATAAGTGAACACAACAATCTCATCATTGACAAATAATGAAGATAAATGGGGTAAAACCATACAATCCACCTTTGCCAATACCCCAACCCACATTCCACTAAGTAGAGACTTGAGGTAATAGATTTCCTTGTAAGTCAAGTTTCTGAAATGGAGAGGCTAAACCCAAATCCACAAAAGGGTTAATCAAATAAAAAATGGCAGAAGCTTACCTATCAAATACCCATCTATTTTACCATAACCCATGCTGAAATAAATAAAAGTGGATAAAACTTACGTGAGTAATCAGTTACAGACCAAAATTATGCACATATCTTTAGTGTTGCACAAATAACAACTTTATATTAACTATAGCTCACCACTTCCTTACATCAATCTTTTTTCATTTGATGTTCTGTACAAATTCTGACCACTCAAAGAAAGGGGTAAAGTGGGAGGAGCAGCTTCCTAGGAGAATCTGACCCATTTTTTCCCACTCAAAAAACAGGTAAGTTAGAGCAAAACCTTACATTCCTCCTCTTACACCCAAATAATGGTTCAGGCAATGAAAGTGACTTCAATTGCATACTTTTTAGAAATGCAAAGACAGCTAGTATTGTGCCTGCCAAATAAATGCACTTTTTTCAACTGCATACTTTTCATTCTTAAGTATCCAATGCTAAAGTCAAAATCTGACCTCAAGCAGCAAGTTGCACTATGATATCATTCTCTCTGGAGCACTTTAATATCACAATTTGAATAAATTGGCAGAAGCTTAAATAGGTCACAATTAAGCCCAAAACTAAGGATACTTATCTGGCAAAAATACTCTGGCTCTGCATTTAGCACCACCAGACACACAATAACAAGCCTATTATTCACCTATCCATCTGTACTTTCCCTAAGGATTAATGAAAATAAGGTAAATCTTATCATCTTTCTGTATTTTTAATACCACCAACAGTGGCTTTTTGTAGCAAGTATTTGCACACTGTTACAAACCAAAGTAAAGATGACTGATACCATTTGATTTTATGCAGGCTTTAGTATATCCCTACAAAGGAATGGTTTTTTTTAAACCTCCATTTCCACAATCATAAAGATATCAAGAACCCTGACCCAAGTAAATGTATAATTATCCCCCATATATCTATGAAATAAAGCCATAAGTGTGAAAACATTTACCAACATGTTAGGGGACAGCACTACTGCTTCAAAAGCAAGAACTATTAATTCTGGTTCTGACATCTGGCCTAATTTCTTCTTGTGAAACTGTAGTTCATCTGAAAGCAACATGCAAAAACCACAGAGGTTTCTGATACTCTCAGCCCCACACCTCCATCATAAATTTTCCTTTCACGATAAACAATGTGCAATCAAAAAGGTTTCCTGTTTCAAAATGGAAGAGATGAAAGAAACTATAACTCTCCCATTAACAACAACAAAAAAGTTTCTTAATGAAGATGAATTCTCAAAGACGAAAATGGAAACTCTCTCAAATACGGCTTCCTCATGTAAGGACTGATCTGCTTTTTCCCCTGCAAACATTCTCAGCATCACACACTGTGGCTGTCATAAGCAGCCCATCAAAGATTTCTTAAATTATTTGTTTGCACTCTTTTGTTATCTAATAGCAACACAACTTCAAGTCAGATAGAACAAACAATTCCAAAGTATTCTATGGCCATGCACCAAGAAAGAGCAGCCAACAGTAAAAACTTTGCATATCTGAGTCATGTAGAGAAACTTGGATCCTTAAAGTGTAATACAAAAGGGAAAAAAGTCTTTGCTTTGAATCCAACTTTTAAAAACACACAGTGGATGTAAGAAACATGGTCAATCCAAATCAAAAGATTGTCACCATAACAATTATTGTTAATTAGCAGTATAAATAAAACTGGAGAAACCACATTCAGCGTGAACAGGGCCAAGTACAGGCACTACAGAAACTTACCACTTTGTCCATGAGTTTCCAAGTTTTCTCCACAGTTCTGCGATCCGCTGCTGCTTGCTTAGGGGGTCCAACTGCATCTTGAATAGCATCAATAATACCCAAAATGCGTGGTTTTCTGGGGTTTCCTCCTCGGCCTCCAGGGTTTCTGCCATTCATAGAATTTGCCATCTGGAATCTTAGTTCTTTGAGAGGAAAATTTTTAAAAAAGAAAAGTTAGCTGGTCATGAAAATACTTAGCCAACAGAAAACTGACCTGGTTAACTTGCACATACTACATCCTCCTTTTTCAGTAAGAACAAAATCCAGGGGCCCAGATTCAACTTTTAAATAGAGTGTGAATTTGCACTTTCAATCTCTACACACAAAATGTTAGGTTGCAATGGACTTAGATTTGCTTTTGGAACACTAAGAGTTAAAGACGCAGAGAAGTCTTGATTAATACCCAAGTCAAAACACAACAAAAAACTTGCATAGGTTTCTTCCAACTAGATAAGAACATAATGTTCTCCCCCTCCCTGCCTTAATTCCACTTAAAAAATCTAGAACTTAAGTCCCTGGATACATTTTAGGGAGACTCACTGGAAAACTGCCCTTTCACTCTGCTGGGTTTCACGAAGTTATATAAACGTAAAGATTTTTCTACAGAAGCGTAAGAAGCAAGTCTGTTGTCAACAAAGACTCAGGACTTGGATATTCCCCGCTAAAACCACCAAGTATGGGCACATGAACACACTATTCTTTAAGCCAAAGCAGTGCGGAGTTATCCCGAAGTTAAAGAGCTAAATGAACCAAGAAACAAACAAAAAAATCCATTTCAAAAGAGAGGGTGAGAAACTGACAAGAGCGGACACGGAAAGACGAGTTCACATCTTTCGCTCCTAGCCTCTCATCTCACCCAAGGCTGTGGGATGGGGGGTCGGTCCAAAGCTTTGTTTCGGGACGCCTGTGCCCCCTTCCACGTTCAGGCCCCTCCCCTGCCACTTTTCGGACCTTAACTGGAAAAGGAAGGTGATCGGAGAAAGGACAAATTATCCCTCGCGCCCCCAGCACCCGCAGCCCCATCCGTCCGGGGCGCTCCGGGTTCAGCTCCCGAGTGGACGCACCTCCCTGGGCTGTCTGCGATTCCAGCAGCCCGTCTTGCTTTTACTCCCTCTTCCTCCTCCCAGGGCCCGGCCCGGTTCCGCTCTTTAAATACCCCTCTTCAAATTGTGACTGCGGCGGCGACGACAGCTGGAAGCTGGGGCTGTCCCCTCTTCCTCAGTGGCCCGCGCTTGGCTGCCCCTGGGCCCCCTGACCGGAAAGAAACGTCGAACCTCCCCGGTGCCCACTTCCCTCCTGGCCTCTCGGCACCGTATCTGTCCAGAGACACGCGTGTGCACGAGTCCGACTCTACACGCACGAGCCCACGGTACGTGGGTAAACGCGGGCAGGAGCAATCGCCGTAAACGCACGCTCCCAAGGAAGGAGCAAGGAGCCACCGAGACGGGGAGACGCAGCAATTACCGTTAAGACCAATCCACACCCGCTCTCCCCTCCCGCCAGACTCTCGGAGAGGCCGCGGGACGCCGCAGCAGCACTTAGCCGGAGGAGGAGACCACTTGCTGGACACTCCACCCCCGTAGGCTACACACAGACACCCAGGCGCGGGGCAGGGCCGGGGGCGGGGCCTCGCCGGAATGAACCAATCCGTAAGGTCTTACACTGCCAGACAGAGGGCGGCGCCAATAGGCGGGAGGTGTCGGTCCTCTTCGCACAACCACCGGGGTCCACGTCTTCCAGGGTACACAATGGCCCCAAAGGAAGGCCCACTGGTCGTAGCACCCAAATGAAAAGGGACTCTGAGGGAAATGGGGTGCTGGAATCATTCTAGAACGAAAGTGGGAAAGGGAAAAGAAATGGAAGGAAAGATTCAAGAGCCCTAGGGAGCTGACCAATAAGGACTGGACGGGTGGGCGTGAGTGTTGGGAGCTGGAGCCCAAGCCAACCGGGACTAAAAGGCGGGACTTCCTGCTTTTGCTCACCTTCCTAGTCTTTTGTTTCATAGCAACAGTGTAGTGGCTGAGAGGGTGTTGCTTCTCCACTCTGGGCGTGTCCCAGGCTGAAGAATTTCATCTCCCTAGGGCTGCCAAACTATTCTATCCAGGACAGAAGCCAAGCAGGTCTAAGATATGCTTCTTGTTGGCTGTCAAAGAAAGAGCAACAGTCACCCACCTGATTGGCAAACAAAACTTCCTAAATTTCCGAGTGTTTCCCTCTTACAGTTAGTTGTAGAGGAACTGCAGATTAAATACCAGGCTGATGAGAAAGCAAATAGTTGACTACAATGGCCACACAGTCTTCATAAGTGCCAGGGCAGTGAAACTGATGATGGGAATGGCTAATATATGTATCACCCCTTTTATTAAGTAGAAGCGACTGAAGAGAAAACAGCTTTTATATTTTGCCCAAGCCACCTTTATGTAGATTGCTCTTCATCATAAAAGCAACCTGTCAAAAATTCAGAAATAGCCACAGTAAAAACAATGAATCAATGAAGTAGTATTGATAAAAATTTACTGGGCACACCACAAAAAGACCACAGTTTGCAAACCGGGAGCACCCAAACCAAAACATGGAATGAGATTGGGGTATATCATTACAGAACAGCTTACATGGTGAGAAAGCAGTATCTTCACAGTGATTGGTAATTAAACTAAATTAATGACTAAGCTGATTTTGTCTGCTCAAGGAAGATTCAAAGCTGGTCTCCATTTTCCTTTGGTTTTAACAACGTTATTGCATCTGCCATTCCCTCCCAACATTTATAAACTCTTTTTCTGTGGCTCTACATATCATCGGAAAGGTCCACATCCAGCTAGTCTTAAAAGGAAAAAGCTACTGGGCTGGGACTCTTCTTTCAACAACACTCTCAATTAAACACATGCCTTTTTTTTTTTTTCTATTTAACTTCGATCCTACTACATCTGCTACTACAAATTGCTTTGATTGTCATGCTTTGAAATTTTCATTCCTACAGTTGGTAGTCTTAAATGAACTTTACATGTGGGCTTCTCAGATGTAATATTTTGTGATATATATATACACATATGAATATATGAATATATATATTCATTTTCTGAGTAAACTGATAAACTGTTTATCAATGGTTATAACCACTTTCTACCTAAATATTTTAGTACTTCAATTATTACTATTCAGGATCCTGAGTTCTCATAAAATATTTTACAACCCTAAATTCAGATCATTAAAACAGGCAAAACATTTCTTTGCAATAAGTAAGGTGATAAAATATGATGCAGGAAGTAATTTTGTTTCTTCGCCATTATTTCTGCGCCAATAATTACAGAGCATTCCCTTGTTTTTACACTGTGTTTATCTACAAAAGTACTGGCCTCTCCATATCTCCTCTACCCATGATTTCTCCTCTACTTATAGTAACAGAAACTGCATTTACTAAGGGAAGACTGCAAAAGGGAAAAACTTACTGAGTCATGTTTTAAATAAATTCAAAAAGTATATAAACCATATGTAGAAAGTTTTTAGTGTGTATGAAAACAGTGGCTTAAGGGAATAAGTACATTACTCATATTTATATCTAAATAAATAAAATACATGTAATAGCATGTACATTCCTTCTATATTATTTTTGCAACTGAGAAATGACAATGAGAAAATGGCATTGCCTATGGTATCAAGCATATCACATTGATACAAATTACAAGTTCTGTGGGATATGGTTAATACATATATATTACACACATATAAAACATAATATCAAGAAATTACAGCTTCGTTCTCAACTAGCTGTTTTATCAATCCCACCTAGAGTCCAAGTTAAGTTCTGGTGCAGCAGGGTTTTCATTTGAGCCCAAAGAAGGATTTGGTTATGTCTGATGAACTAATAATACAATAGTCCTCCCTGCAAACTATTAGCATAAGTTGATGCATGTGGGAGAATAAAGAACTATTGAGATAAAACTTCATACCTCATGCACTTCCAATGGAGACACAAGGGGCAGAGCATAATAAATGAATGTATACTAAGGGACTATAAAGAGTAAACAGAAATGTTTTCATGGGAGACTTTGTGATACTCAGAACATAAGCAGTACTATATCAAGGTGACAGAATTGGCTAGAGAAATTCCTCATTTCTAAACAAAATAAGTCAGTTTCCAACACTGTGTGGTTTAGCGTGAAAGTAGCCTCCTTAGGCAGGATGGTGATTTGTAACCTAGAATGAACTTGGATATGGCATTTTTATAGAAGAGGAGTGTTCTCCTGGAAGATCCTTACATGAGGCAGAATGGTGAGACAGCTGCCTAAGAGTCTTGCAAACACCATAGCAGCCAATATATACATACTGATCTTGAGCACATGTGAGATCCTTCCCCCAGGACTCCCAGAAAAGACCGGGAGACTTTGTGGAAGGGGTACTGAGCAATTTTGGAATGGTACCTACATACAAACCCTTGTAATTTGAGCATTAATATTTGATATAATCCTGTATTTAAACACAGGGAAACAATTTAAGAACACAATTATTTCAAGCAAATATTTTTCTTTTCTTTTTTCCTACATTCTCCAAATTTACAGATAACTTGTGTAATAATGAACACGATTTGACTAAATAGCAAAGCATTCCAATAATTTTTTGATCCATAATAGCTAGTCAAAAAAAAACATTTGTTAAATGAATCAATTTACTATTTAAGGGTATTGCCTAGGAAAAAGGCTGTCCCTCTTCCTGTCCAAATTTTCAGACTAAAGAGAAATAAGAGCATTATTACCTAGTCACACATGTATTTAATAAGTCATTCCATGCTAAGAGGAATAAATTTCCAACTCTCCTTACCAGCATTCTAATAGCTGACAGATCCATCAGATATAACCACACTCTGAGTATTAGTTTGGGCTCAGGTAGAATTCTTGCTTAACAATAACAGCAATGCAAAAATAACAATGACTTAAACAAGACAGAACCTTATCCTTCTCACACATAGAAAAAGTCTGAAAGTAGAAACCACTGGCAGGATGGTGGTTGCATAATTTTCTCAAGGACACAAGTTTCTCTCTTATTCCTGTATCATCCCAGCACCTAAATTTCTACTCTCAGAATCACCTTATGTTCCAACATGGCTGTTGGTGCTCCAGCTATCACCACTGATTTTGGGGGCTAAATGATAAGAAGAAAGGTGGAACATTATATTGAACTTTTGGCTGAGTCAATTCTGTTTAAGCCATTTTCAAAAAACTCTCACAAATATTTTCTTTAATATCTCAAAGCCAGACTCAGTTTCATGGCAAAACTTAGCTGTAAAAATGTCTGGAAGACAATGTGCTTTCTACTATGGGAAGGAATATGACCAGCCAAAAATTTAGGTTTTGTTTCTGAAGAGAAAGGAGTACATAGATGTTTGGCAAGAAACTAGCAAATCCTACCACAAAGATCTTGTTCTAAGAATTGAGCTTATGATTAATAAACCAGTTAATATATGATATTATATGTTATCAGTTCCTTAGCATACACTAGCATCTGGTAGATGTATTACCAGATATATACATATATATATATTGAAGTTTATCATACGTAAGTATATGTAAATTATTTACAATTTTTATTACAGCATGTAGGCTCAATAATCCTAAACAATTCAATATCACCAGGTGCAAAATGGGCAAAATTAAGTAAGTAACTTCCTCACTACATTCCATCCTAAAGTTCATATCAAACAATTAGATATCTGAAAAATAACATCTTCAAAAATCGCTTCCTTGAGATTTTTCCCCCAGATAATTATTTATTTGGCAGTTGTTCTTTGTAATAAGATAAAGGATTTATAATGAAGTGTTAAAAATAGACACTTCAAAATTTGGAATAAACCTACAGCTTTGTCTGTGCTGTATGCCTTTGTACCTCCATAGCGTTCTTCATGTTTCACAGTACATTTTTTTATGTTCATTTAATACGCTTAATTCGGAAAACTATGAATAATTTTCTGTTCTCGCAAACAATTGTGTGAAGATGTAAAATTTGATAATATTTGTCACAAAGTAATTGATCTATAATCCATATGCATTTTGATGTATGCATATTAATAAAATATTGAATTTTTATTTTACAATTAAACAAAATACAAATTCCTAATTTTTTAAAGCTGACTGGAATCTTGATACTAATCCTCTTCACTCAGTTTAGCAGATGTGGAACTTGGCAAATTTGTCCAGGGTAATTGGGCCCTTAAAAATATAGAAAATAGCCCTGGCTGGGGTAGCTCAGTGGATTGAGCATGGACCTATGAAGCAAAGGTTCACCAGTTCAATTCCCAGTCAGGGCACATGCCTAGGTTTCAGTCCAGGTCCCCAGTAGGGGACACATGACAGGCAACCACACATTGATGTTTCTCTCCCACTCTTTCTCCTTCCCATCCCCTCTCTCTAAAAATAAATAAATAAAATATAAAAAAGAAGTACATTTAAAATATATAT